TGTGTGTGTGTGTGTGTGTGTGTGTAAAATAAACAATTGAATGGATGGATGAATGTATGAATGAATAAATAAATAGTATTTAATAATGTGCATAAATGAAAACTTTGCATTTCTACTTTTAAATCACTAAAGTACATGGCCTTGTTTTTTACAATTGTAAGTGCCTTAGGTTAACTGCATTTTATTTAAAAAATTAGGTAAATATTTAACCTGCCTTGACATTGCTGCTGTATTCCTTATCTGCATCTCTTTTTCCCTGCATCGTGTTTTTCTCAGGGCTGTGATAGACAGATGATCTTTGACATGCTGAAGAGGCTCAGATCAGTGGTGTACCTTCCAGGAGACTATGTCTGCAAGAAGGCAAGGAACATAAAGAAGATGTTTAGACTGCGGCTCGTGTTTGTGCAGACAAGTCATTTTACTATAGCAGTAAATGTAGAGATATATTAATTTATTTATTACAGGATGAAGTGGGTCGTGAGATGTACATTATAAAGGCAGGGGAAGTCCAGGTAGTTGGTGGTCCCGATGGAAAGACAGTGTTTGTGACCCTGAAAGCAGGAGCTGTGTTTGGAGAGGTCAGGTAAGGGCCGCAGTTTCTAGTTTTGTCAGTATAAAATCCCTCATTGTCAAATTTGCTCTTAGTTCATGTCTTCTTCTCCAAAAAAGCTTGCTTGCTGTGGGTGGAGGAAACCGGCGGACAGCTAATGTTGTAGCACGTGGTTTTGCTAACCTCCTCATCTTGACCAAAAGGGACCTGAATGAGATCATTGTGCACTATCCAGAGTCCCAGAAACTGCTGCGCAAGAAAGCAAGGTGAGTGCAACTACTGAAAGGAAAATAATGAGCCATAAGGATTTCCCAATTTTTACTTTAATTTTCCACTACGATGAATCAACGATATTTGACTAGTAATTTCACCAGGTAATTTTCCAGCCCTAGCTTCTGTTCAAATAATGTGTGACTTGCTGTTTGCCCGTAAGGAAAATGGTGATGAAGGATAAAAAGCCTGCTGAGAAGAAAGAGGAAAAAAAGGAGCCCATTCCGATTATTCCTCCTCGCGCCGAGACGCCCAAACTGTTAAAAGCTGCACTGGAGATGACAGAGAAAACAGGAATGAAAGGAACATGGTCCAAAATTAAGGACAGGAGCAACAGATCGAGTGTCTCCTTGCAGGTACATACCCTGAATTTGACCCAACAAAATTGATTTAAATTTAATATATATATTAAATTATAATGATATAATAATTTATAGGAAAAATATATATAACAAGATCATTTTATAT